TTTTTTTGATATCTTGAATAGTTTTCGAGATATAACAAAAGAAAAAAAAAATTAATTTACATATAAGGGGTGGATTCATCTCTTTAAACCGTTTTTTAGCACCAACTGATAATTTCTAAATTCATCTATTTATGTAACCTCAAAGTGTACCAATCATTAAAATCAGAATTTGACACTTCGCGAGGTTCCCTTGTTAGTTTAAACTTGACTTCTTGCACGTATCTCTTCACGGAAAGAACGATTTTGTTGAAAGGTTTAAAAATTTTGCTAAAAACAGATCTGAAAACAATTTTTTATTGAATTATCAAAGTAATTTGTTGGAATGTTAAAACTGATAAGTATTGCTATAAAACGTTTTGATATTCTATCAATCTGCAATCATTTTGACTTTCGCACAAAATAATTTTGATTATTGAACAAAAGTTATTTTCAAATCTGAATTCAGCAAAATTGTTCTTTTCGTGTTTCATTCAAATTTTTAACCCGAGGCGCCAATTGAAAATGTATCCATAACAAGTGCGCATTTAATAACAATTATTATACTGTTAAATAAAAAAATTATCTTTTTTTCGAGCACGAGAATAATTGTTGCCGTGGTTTTCTAGACGTTGCAATGTATACGATCCCGTTTATCAAATCGTTCCATCGCAATTTTGAAAGGTTGTTGATTAAAGTTGCAAACAGAGCTACTTTACTAGCATATTATGCTGGTAAACGATATGCGAGGCGTTAAAAAATTAAATTATTATTAGAAATTTCAATTCTTAAGAGAAATTTGTTGTCAATTATTTAAATTATAATTAACTAGAAAGATATCTATGATTAATATAGGATCTATTATATGAAAATTGCGATTTACATAAGTCATTAAAGATACCAAATATTTTGAATAATTATTCAACTATTCAAACTTAATGGTTTTTTTTCAAGTTGAACACTAATTTGATGCCAAAGTTGATAAATTTAATTTAAATTGTATGAAAAAAATATATGCACATAAATTATTAAAAAATTTCGACAATCACCATATTGATTCCTGCATCTTTTTAAATTCAACTTTAATATCAGATTGATAGGATTCACAGTCAGTGATTTAAAGAATCCTTAAGTTTGAACAATATCATTGGAAATATCTGGTAGATTCTTAATAGTAGATACATGTAAGTCGCAACACAATAGATCTTATATTAATAACAAATTATTTGTTATTTGTTATTTGTTTAACTATTATCTATATATTTCTTTTAAGAATTCAAAGTCCTAAGTATTTAATTTTAATTGCAATAAAATTTCTCCATGTCAAATATACAGTACCGGTTTAAAGGAGGGGCTAAGGAGGCTGTAGCCCCGGGCCTCATCTTTCTAGGGGGCCCCTTATAAGCTTAAAATTATTAATTTCAATAATAAAAAATAAATATTAATCCACAATGATTGATATTAGACTATCGTCATTTAGCATTGTTAGCTAAAAAGCGAACTGCTGAGAAATCTTGATTTTAATTAATAAATTTGCGTACAATAAATCAAGAAAAAAAGTTTTAAGTATCACCGTAATTTCAATAAAATGTCAATTATTTTCATGTGTTTACTTTTCAGAACTGTCTTGTATCTTTTAAGCAGAAATAACAAAAATCATACGAATAATCACGTTTTTTAAATAGCAAATGCAAAATATGTATGTATTTAAATCAGTTATTATTTAATAATAAAAGGGTCCCGTTTTAATCAGGGCCAAAAATATCTTAAGCCGGATCTGCATATATCATTATAGTTACACGTTGTGTAAAGTTCAATTTAAAATAATCCTTTTTGCAACTTCAATCGCAAATTTCTCAGCATTGTGTGACGCGCGACAATTTGGTATTTGGATCGTATATTCAACGCCTAAAAAAACCCTCTGAAAACCTTGTGCATTTTTTTTCCGTTGGGCGGCAATGTAATCAAAGATAAGAAGAAATATACTGAACCTGCAGGCGCTCGTTGCGGGTGAAGTTCTCCCGCGGCAAACGCACGTTCGATTGGGACGAGAATTCGATTGAGTTTTAGAGGCGCGCACGCGATCGGCGCGCCA